TCTCAGTACTACTACAGTCGTCTCAGTACTACTACAGTAATCTCAGTACTACTACAGTAATCTCAGTACTACTACAGTAATCTCAGTACTACTACAGTCGTCTCAGTACTACTACAGTCGTCTCAGTACTACTACAGCCATCTCAGTACTACTACAATCATCTCAGTGCTACTACAGTCATCTCAGTACTACTACAGTCATCTCAGTACTACTACAGCCATCTCAGTACTACTACAGCCATCTCAGTACTACTACAGTCTTCTCAGTACTACTACAGTCGTCTCAGTACTACTACAGCCATCTCAGTACTACTACAGTCATCTCAGTACCACTACAATCATCTCAGTACTACTACAGTCATCTCATTACTACTACAGTCATCTCAGTACTACCACAGTCATCTCAGTACTACTACAGTCATCTCAGTACTACTACAGTCATCTCAGTACTACCACAGTCATCTCAGTACTACCACAGTCATCTCAGTACTACTACAGTCATCTCAGTACTACTACAGTCATCTCAGTACTACCACAGTCATCTCAGTACTACTACAGTCATCTCAGTACTACTACAGCCGTCTCAGTACTACTACAGCCATCTCAGTACTACTACAATCATCTCAGTACTACTACAGTCGTCTCAGTACTACTACAGCCATCTCAGTTCTACTACAGTCATCTCATTACTACTGCAGTCGTCTCACTACTACAGCATTCTCAGTACTACTACAGTAATCTCAGTACTGCTACAGTCATCTCAGTACTACTACAGTCGTCTCAGTACTACTACAGCCATCTCAGTACTACTACAGTCGTCTCAGTACTACTACAGCCATCTCAGTACTACTACAATCATCTCAGTACTACTACAGCCGTCTCAGTACTACTACAGTCATCTCAGTACTACTACAGCCATCTCATTACTACTACAGCCATCTCAGTGCTACTACAGCCATCTCAATACTACTATAGTCATCTCATTACTACTACAGTCATCTCATTACTACTACAGCCATCTCAGTACTACTACAGCCATCTCATTACTACTACAGTAATCTCAATACTACTACAGTAATCTCATTACTACTACAGTCATCTCATTACTACTACAGCCATCTCAGTACTACTACAGTCATCTCATTACTACTACAGTCATCTCATTACTACTACAGTCATCTCATTACTAGTACAGTCATCTCATTACTACTACAGTCATCTCATTACTACTACAGCCATCTCAGTACTACTACAGCCATCTCATTACTACTACAGTCATCTCATTACTACTACAGTCATCTCATTACTAGTACAATCATCTCATTACTAGTACAGTCATCTCATTACTACTACAGTCATCTCATTACTACTACAGCCATCTCATTACTACTACAGTCATCTCATTACTACTACAGCCATCTCAGTACTACTACAGCCATCTCATTACTACTACAGTCATCTCATTACTACTACAGCCATCTCAGTACTACTACAGCCATCTCATTACTACTACAGTCATCTCATTACTACTACAGTCATCTCATTACTAGTACAGTCATCTCATTACTAGTACAGTCATCTCATTACTACTACAGTCATCTCATTACTACTACAGCCATCTCATTACTACTACAGTCATCTCATTACTACTACAGCCATCTCAGTACTACTACAGCCATCTCATTACTACTACAGTCATCTCATTACTACTACAGCCATCTCAGTACTACTACAGCCATCTCATTACTACTACAGTCATCTCATTACTACTACAGCCATCTCAGTACTACTACAGCCATCTCATTACTACTACAGCCATCTCATTACTACTTCAGTCATCTCATTACTACTACAGCAATCTCAGTACTACTACAGCCATCTCATTACTACTACAGCCATCTCATTACTACTACAGTCATCTCATTACTACTACAGCAATCTCAGTACTACTACAGCCATCTCATTACTACTACAGTCATCTCATTACTACTACAGCCATCTCATTACTACTACAGTCATCTCATTACTACTACAGCCATCTCAGTACTACTACAGCCATCTCATTACTACTACAGTCATCTCATTACTACTACAGCCATCTCAGTACTACTACAGCCATCTCATTACTACTACAGTAATCTCAATACTACTACAGTAATCTCATTACTACTACAGTCATCTCATTACTACTACAGCCATCTCAGTACTACTACAGTCATCTCATTACTACTACAGTCATCTCATTACTACTACAGTCATCTCATTACTAGTACAGTCATCTCATTACTACTACAGCCATCTCAGTACTACTACAGCCATCTCATTACTACTACAGTCATCTCATTACTACTACAGTAATCTCAATACTACTACAGCCATCTCAGTACTACTACAGCCATCTCATTACTACTACAGTCATCTCATTACTACTACAGCCATCTCAGTACTACTACAGCCATCTCATTACTACTACAGTAATCTCAATACTACTACAGTAATCTCATTACTACTACAGTCATCTCATTACTACTACAGCCATCTCAGTACTACTACAGCCATCTCATTACTACTACAGTCATCTCATTACTACTACAGTCATCTCATTACTAGTACAGTCATCTCATTACTACTACAGTCATCTCAGTACTACTACAGCCATCTCATTACCACTATTACTTTCTATTCGTAGTCTTTGTGCTAAAAATTGGGTCTTTTTGTCAATAATTCCATGAAGTTCTAATTTAGCTTTACGTAATTTGCTCATTAACTCTTCTTCTGTGGATGCCTCTAAAGACTTGATGATTTCCTCTAACTCCTGAATACGTTTGTTTTCTGTTTCTTTCTTATGTGATGGGAAAGAGATTATTTTACCTCTCATCACTGCCTTTCCTGCCTGCCAGAGAACAGATGCTGATGTTCCAGGCAGGTCATTATGTTCTAAATATAAAGCCCACTCCTTTTAAAAAAAAAATGCTATAAAACCATATTAAACCTCCATGTTTTTGCTTGGTGGGATTGTCTTCTTATTTACTAGAGTTAAAGAAACCGGAACATGGTCGCTGATAACTATGGGGTGTATTTAAATCCACATGGTCTGATAAAATTATAGGGCCATAACAATAGGGAGTGCAGAATTATTAGGCAAATGAGTATTTTGTCCACATCATCCTCTTCATGCATGTTGTCTTACTCCAAGCTGTATAGGCTCGAAAGCCTACTACCAATTAAGCATATTAGGTGATGTGCATCTCTGTAATGAGAAGGGGTGTGGCCTAATGACATCACCACCCTATATCAGGTGTGCATAATTATTAGGCAACTTCCTTTCCTTTGGCAAAATGGGTCAAAAGAAGGACTTGACAGGCTCAGTAAAGTCAAAAATAGTGAGATATCTTGCAGAGGGATGCAGCAGTCTTAAAACTGCAAAGCTTCTGAAGCGTGATCATCGAACAATCAAGCGTTTCATTCAAAATAGTCAACAGGGTCGCAAGAAGCGTGTGGACAAACCAAGGCGCAAAATAACTGATCATGAAGTGAGAAAAGTCAAGCGTGCAGCTGCCAAGATGCCACTTGCCACCAGTTTGGCCGTATTTCAGAGCTGCAGCATCACTGGAGTGCCCAAAAGCACAAGGTGTGCAACACTCAGAGACATGGCCAAGGTAAGAGAGGCTGAAAGACGACCACCACTGAACAAGACACACAAGCTGAAACGTCAAGACTGGGCCAAGAAATATCTCCAGACTGATGTTTCTAAGGTTTTATGGACTGATGAAATGAGAGTGAGTCTTGATGGGCCAGATGGATGGGCCCGTGGCTGGACTGGTAAAGGGCAGAGAGCTCCAGTCCCACTCAGATGCCAGCAAGGTGGAGGTGGAGTACTGGTTTGGGCTGGTACCATCAAAGATGAGCTTGTGGGGCCTTTTCGGGTTGAGGATGGAGTCGAGCTCAACTCCCAGTCCTACTGCCAGTTTCTGGAAGACACCTTCTTCAAGCAGTGGTACAGGAAGAAGTCTGCGTCCTTCAAGAAAAACATGATGTTCATGCAGGACAACGCTCCATCACACGCGTCCAAGTACTCCACAGCGTGGCTGGCAAGAAAGGGTCTAAAAGAAGAAAAACTAATGACATGGCCTCCTTGTTCACCTGATCTGAACCCCATTGAGAACCTGTGGTCATCATCAAATGTGAGATTTACAAGGAGGGAAAACGGTACACCTCTCTGAACAGTGTCTGGGAGGCTGTGGTTGCTGCTGCGCGCTATGTTGATGGTGAACAGATCAAAACACCGACAGAGTCCATGGATGGCAGGCTTTTGAGTGTCCTTGCAAAGAAAGGTGGCTATACTGGTCGCTGATTTGTTTTTGAATGTCAGAAATGTATATTTGGGAATGTGGGGATGTTATACTGGTTTCACTGGTAAAAATAAATAATTGAAATGGGTATATATTTGTTTTTTGTTAAGTTGCCTAATAATTATGCACAGTAATAGTCACCTGCACACACAGATACCCCCCTAAAATAGCTAAAACTAAAAACTTCTTCCAAAAACATTCAGCTGTGATATTAATGAGTTGTTTGGGTTCATTGAGAACATGGTTGTTGTTCAATAATAAAATTATTCCTCAAAAATACAACTTGCCTAATAATTCTGCACTCGCTGTAGTGGAAACAAGAAAATAATCTATACGAGAAAATGTTTTCTGTACTCCAGATAACATCGTGCTTCGTCAGAGGCAGCTGGTGAAATAACATTCAGATTGCATATAGACACACACCAATAAACACATCTGACATGCACATAAATGATAGTTTTATTTACTTTTTAGATATTTTTTCTCCCTTCAAGTCAGAGACGGTGGCGCCCCCTATGGGCGAGCCGCCACTGTGCTAGAAGAAGCTTCTCATCCCGTTTTTTCATTGAAGAAAACACGCAACGCTGCGGACATTCACCATGTTTCAGGCTGTCTTTACGACCCAGACGTGACCGGTTTGTCCCATCAGGACTGCGAGACCATCTACCAGTGGCTGTGTGAATTCCAGCTGGAGCAGTACACATCCAACTTCATAAGAGCAGGATACGACATGCCCACCATTAGCAAGATGACCCCAGAGGTGCGTTCTCACTCCAGATGTTTTCCACAACACTCTCACCTTTGCAGACATTAGTAGGCAGTAGGCATTATCATCTTCAACACATTGTACAGAAACCTAGGTTTGGTTCTGATGTGGACGTTCTGCACCTACAGGACCTAGCAGCCATCGGTGTGACCAAACCAGGTCACAGGAAGAAGATCTCCATTGAAATTAGCAAAATGAAGATGCCTGAGTGGCTGCCGGACCACACTCCTGTGAGGAATTCTCTCCAGCCTCCCGCTAACATGCAGCTCTACTGGCAGCAGGTATTTAAGAAGTTGTGATGCTGTCTTGCAGCTGGACCTGGGCGAATGGCTCAGTATGATCGGCCTGCCGCAGTACCACAAGAGACTGTGTGAAAACGGCTACGATTCCATCTCCATCGTGAAGGACATCACCTGGGAGGACCTGCAGGAGATAGGAATCACCAGACTGGGTGAGTCGTGCTGTTTTCTCACAGACTTGATGAACTTGACTGAAGTCAGAGTTGGTGAAGAGTGTGTGTTTGTGTGTGCCAGGCCATCAGAAGAAGCTAATGCTAGAAGTGAAGCGCCTGTCTGACCTGCATCGCTGTCAGACTCCTGCAGGCAGAACGCTCAGACAAATGCCCGCCTCTGCTCTGGAGGTGGTGGCCACTGAGCAGACGCCGGCACACCCCGTTCACCCCAGCCTGCACCCTGTGGCTCAGTCCGCCAGCTGCTGCACCTCCTCACACAAGCACAGGACACTCCTCTCCTTTCAGGACAGTGAGCTCAGTGCTGAGCTGCAGAGTGCTATGATTAGCAAGGTGGGGGGAGGAGCTTCTGAGGAGAGTCGGGGCAGCAATAGGGGGGAGGGGGTCAAACGTGGAAGTCCTGGAGGCAGGAGTAAGCAGAATCCCAAAGAGCTGAGGAGCCACCAGAGTTGGTGTGCAACACCCACACACACCTGTGGAACACCTCAGCTGACCCCCACAGGGTTGCCCTGTTTTGCACACCCAGCAGTCCCACCCACGTCCACGCACCTTAAGTCCCCGAACCATTTCCTTCAGCCTCAGCAGCAGTCCAAGCACCAGCCTCCCTCCTGCTCGTTGCCTCAGGCCCCACAGACGGTCTCTCCCCTTAGGGCTCCGGTTGGAGGTGTTCATGGGGCCTCGGGGCTGCTCTCCAAGCCCCTTTCTGGAGCTGTTCCTGTGCTGAGACACCCAGCTGTAGACTCCCACGTGGCGTCTCAGAAGAAACGCAGCCAAAGTTTGACCCGATGTGTTCCATTCAGCAGGGAGGCTGACGAGTTCAAGGCTGTAGATGCCTCCTCTTCTTCTGCAGCCATGTCGCCCTACGCCACCCTCTCTTGGCGGCCAGATCACACGTCAGGGACACAACATCAACTCAACCGCAGCCACTCCTTTGCTGTGCGCTCCCGACACAAAGGTCCACCCCCCACACCACCTAAGAGAATGAGCTCAGTCAGTGGGAGCCCAGCACAGCAGCAGGAAGGGGCGGAGCCACAGGCGATGGGTGGGGTCGAGACGGAGACGGCAGGTAGTGTGAGGAGCATAGCAGCCAGGTTAGAAGTTGGCAGCAGCAGCAGCAGTCCCTCCAGAAGAATCGACATCCCACCAGCCTACATCCATCCTGTTCTCAGCCGTGTTTCCTCCCCACACACTCACGGGTTTCCCTCCCACATCGTTCTGCAGCATTCCAAACCCGTCCCTGTTCTGGGTTTGGGCGGCCTAAGGAGAGTAGGAAGTGAGAGGGCAGAGGGAGATACTCATGGACACAGAGGTGGACGGTCAGTGGAAAGAGCTCAGGAGAAGCCCAAAAGAAGAAGGAATGAAAACCAAAGCAAGTGTGCTGCAGCGTCACCAGAGGTCACTCCAGAGGAGGACCTGCCGTTTGCTGAAGAGGGAAATCTCACCATCAAGCAGCGACCCAGAACAGCTGCTTGTACCCAGCTGGACCAGTTCAATAAGACTCCATCTGAAAGTCCGGTTCAGACTCCAAACAGCCTGGAGCTTCAAGACTTCATGCTGAAGGAGTCTGACACTGTAAAACGAAGGCAGAACCGCGATGGCAAAGATTTTCCCTTACCTGAAAAGACTACCGTCACTAGCAAGAATGAGAGGCGTCTGGCAGGAGGCAGCCTTCTCACACAGAACTGTGTCAGCGTCACGAATACTGGGAAGGCTCAAGAAAACGTCTTCCAGAGAAGTGGTTCAGTGGGGAAAAGCCCGAAACCTGCCGAAACCTCGAAGTCTTCCAGACCACCCAAACAACCCCCTAACAGCACACCAGGGAGCCTTCAAAAACACGTTTCCTCTGCAGCTACAGCAGAAACCGCCGATGAAAACCGGACCAGTGTGCAGATTCAAACCGTCTCATCAGTGCTGAGCAGCAGCAGCCCCTTCCAGATGAGCATGCTGTGTCCCAACGCTGCCAAGCACCAGCAGACTGGCATGTCCCAGAGCGCTTCTGATGGGCCTCATCCCAGTACGCCCTTCACCTCACCATCAGGTAAAACCTGAAGGCCAATGGTCTCTGCCTGGGACTGATGTTCAACATCTAATGTCTCAGTGGTTACATCAGGGATAGGAACACGGGTTCAGAGTGTGTCTTTTAGAACTTGATTAGCCCTGAAATGATGATCCAGCTCCCTAAACTCATCCTCATCCCCAGGGAAACCAGCCCAAACTGGTATGGTGGTTCTGGAGGTCTTGGCTCAGAAGAGACTGGAGCAAACAAGTTCATCTCTGGAGGCTGCTCTCAAGGAGGCGGAAGACAAGCTGTCACAAGGAAATCACGTTGACAGGTAAGAACTGTCCCTTGTCCAATCAGGGTGGACAGTCCCTCCTACGAGCTCCATGTGTTCATTGTCCATAACGCAGGTCTGAGCTTCAGAAGGACCTATTTTATGGCATTGATGTTCCAAGGTCCTGTCTATTTTAAACTGGACTTTAATTACGAAACTGGAAGATGAAACATGTTCTACTGTTTGAATTTAGATGTTGGTGACTGGCTGCTCTTTTCCTTTGTATGATTTCCTGGTTCTGAACCTCTGATACCCGAAGATTCACAGCATCTTGATGCCTGTGCTTAAATAATTAGAGCATGGTCAGTTGTTAGCGTCGTCCAGCTAACAGGCTGGACGAAGACAGGTTAGATGAGGACAGCCAACAGGCCGGATGATGCGGCGTAGGAGAAGGCCATGTAATGCAAAGATTATTGGTCCCTACCAGTGGGCAGAGGTCACCACACATTAAGTGTCCGGCCCGTTTTCATCTGCCTGAAACACGCGTGTGCTGTTCTTCACATCAAAGCGATCTCCTGTTCACCGTCACAACAAGCTCTGTCCTGCTTTGTTGCCTGCAGAAGCACAAGGTCTTATTTGGTCTCAAGAACCATTTCCTAGCTTTACAAGTAATTTACAATCATGTTCTGTTTTATCTACGATTCATGTTTTCATCTAAAACGATTTAATAATGTCTCGACTGCTTTACAATAATGAATGAATCAACATCATTGTTAGTTCTTACTCCAGATCGTAGATGCACCAGATGAGTCTACTTGATGATTTAACAATGATTTATTGTCAGTATATTCACACATTAATATTAACAAACGAATGTTAAACATATTCACTTCACATTAAGTTAAATAAGCTCTCCGAAGCGTCTGAGTGGCATGTGAGAACTCTTTGGTAACCGCCCACTTCACCGTCCGGCTTCTGATTTGTCTAAAACTTATAAACACGAAATCTTAAAAGAGACATCACTTCCTCAGTTTGCCAGTTCCAGCAAGCTGTGCCAGTTTGGCCAAACAGTTCCAGCGGCATTAAAAACCATCCTTTTCAAGGCTAAATAATATATTTGCTAAGCCTACAAACAACTCCGTCAGATGCAAACTTCAGCTGACCGCCAGCAGGTTGTATCTCATGGGCCAGCCGTGCAAATTAAAATTCAATTCAAGTTTACTTATAAAGCGCCAAATCACGACAAGAGTCGTCTCAAGGACCTTCACACAGTAAGCACTCCAGTACAGGTCAGGGGTCTCATTTATCAAACATGGCGTTGAATCCTTGCTAAAACCGTACTTAAAATGTACTTACGCCAAGCAGGTGTGTGATCTATCAAACATGGACGACGCACAGCTGCACGCAATCTCCGCTTCATTAATCAGAAACTATCTAGAAAGGTTCTCAGCTGCATTTTAGCCACATCCCGCCCTCACCACACCCACTTACTGCCATAAATACTCAATGCAAAGTGCTTTGTGGACCTCATGCATATACATAAGCCGGCTGTTGCAGCACTTTGCCAATGACATGGTGACCGCAGATCAAGGCCGATCAAGGAAGCGTAATTTCACAGAAGCAGAAGTTGAGGTACCTGTGGGTGAGGTGGAGAAATGAAAGGAAGTGCTTTTGCAAAACAAATAAGAGAAAATCCACGGAGTGGCACAGCGTTGCTGAAGCCGTCAATGCTGACTTCTTCAGAGAGATCTGTGGCGGATATAAAAAAATGGTCCAATAGGGATTCAATCCCCAGACTCCTGGGTGAAAGTCACGCGCGCTAACCAGTCAGCCAAACAGAGATCTCCCCTGTACAAGTAGCCAGGGCGCATGATCAATCGGGTCACAGTGACAGGACACACACCGTCACAGACGCATGACGTTCTGTCTCAATCTGTCCCCCTGCTGATATTCTGCATTCTGTATTCTGCCTTCAGGCTGTGTGTGTGTGTGTGTGTGTGCGCGCGCGCGCGTGTGTGTGTGTGTGTGTGCGTGTGTGTGCGCGTGTGTGTGTGTGTGTGTGTGTGTGTGTGTGTGTGTGTGCGTGTGTGTGTGTGTGTGTGGTTACTTGTTCTGTGTGAAAAGAAAGCAGTACAAGTGATAATGCTGCAGGATTTCATAGTTTTATCTTCTCAGCAGCAGCACTGCAGGTGCTCTCCATGTCCAACATGTGTGTAAGCCAGGTCCTGAGTCAACTTAAAGTTGCGCACATTTTTCCGCTAAGTTTTCTTTCATAAATCCCGAAGTTTGTGTGGAAAGTTGCTTACGCAGTTTTCCGACCCTGTTTTGTGGGTAAGCTAGCTTGATAAATGAGGCCCCTGGTCATTAAGCCAATCAATAAAACATTTCCTATATAAGGAACCCAGCAGGGTGCATCGAGTCACTGACTAGTGTCAGAGTCTTCACAGCAATCCTCATACTAAGCAATCATGCAGCGACACAACTCACTGGGGATGGAGAAGACAGAAAACACACACACACACACACACACACACACACACACACACACACACACACACACACACACACACAAAGACAAGTAATGTGTCTATAGTTATATTGTGATGTCTTAGTAAATATTGTATTTGGTGAGAGATAAACTTTATTGTATTTATCCTAGTGGATCTATAATTAAACGGGCTAATTCTAGGCGTTAAATCTCAAGGCCTTGGCTTACGGTACCATATGGTGGGCTTGACCTCAGACCCCTCCTGACGGAAACACCCTTTCTCTGTGGAGAGATATTTTACCTTGTGCAACCTATAATTCTGGTAAAAGCACCTTTATTTTGCTGTAGGAAGACTCGTGCTGCATCAGACCACACTCCATGAGCTCATCACGTTCAGAACAAACCCTCGTCAGCTTCCCCTCTGATCAAATGAACGCTGATGTACACAACCTGGGATGGAATGAAGCAACCAGCAAACTCACCTTGTGCTGTGCCAGAGAAGGAAAGGAGGCCCCCACTAATTACTCTTAATTCCTTTCCGCAGGAGGGAAAAGTTTATTCCACACACAAAAAGGAAAAAAGGGATGAAGGGGGTTAGCAGCTCTGAGAGGTATAAGGGGGCTAGACCATTCAGGGCTTTGTAAGTAAAAGTTAGAACTTTGAGTTGAATTCGAAATTGCTCAGGAATCCAGTGTAGATCCGCCAGAATGGGAGTGATGTGGCAGCGTCTATTAGCATTGGAGAGAAATCTGGCTGCAGCATTCTGGACTTTCTGCAGACGATTTAGGACAGATACGTTTACACCAATTAGAACCGAGTTGGAAAAATTGAGTCTGGAAGTGATAAATGCACGAATCACTGATTCTAAGTGTGGCCTCTTAAGAATGGGCTTAGTCGGGCAAGGCGACGAAGCTGGAAGAAGCAGGATCGAACCGTAGCATTAACATGTGCACTCATTGATAAGTCAGCATCCAGTTTAACCCCAAGGCTGGTCACACATGACTTAAGTTTCTGTTTCTTCTATTTCTCGAGCTTACTAGAACCTTTTCCCATGTTTTCTATTTCACCTTTTAGTTTACAGATTTATTAGATAAACGTCGTTTTAATTTCATGCCAGAAAATAATCTTGCAACATACGAGAAATCATTACGCCTGCTTCAAAGGGATTTGGGGGAAAAAAATCTACGTTGCCATATTAAAAGTTCTGCTGAATTGTTGTGTGAAACGGGAAGTTTGTAAATTTCTCTTAAAAGAACTTCAGGGGTGTCTTGTGAAACCTCGTTGATGCTTAATTTTGCTCCGACGGCTGAAATCATCTAGAGTCTATGCCTGTTTCTTAATCTGTCATGTATCCCGCGTATTCCAGGCTTATGAGGATTATTGTAATTACAATAGCTACACAGGCTTCTGCCATAAAAATGTTGGTGTTTTGTTCTGAAAGCATTTTAAAGTCTCAGACCAGTGTGGGGTTAACCCATGGGGGTTCTAAAACACTGGTTTTCAGTGAGATTGAGCCAAGTTCCGTTGTGGTAGTTCTCACTTGTACCTTATTCAGGTGGAGAACTCTTACCTTTGCATCTGCAAGGGTCGCTCAGTATTATTCTCACTGTTTTATAGGATACTGTGTCACCTAGTAGCATGCTCGTACAGTCACACAGTTTAAAGTCCCATTTTTTGCCACGGATAATTCCAGGGATCCGTCACCTAACTTCCTTTAGGACTATCTTGTGCCTGTGTAGGGTCTAGAATCCCACAGATCCTTCACTCAGTCACACTTTTAAAGTGAGACAAACTCACGGAATAGAAGGACTCCGTCGTCCCCTTCTGCGCCTCTCTCCACTCACTTCACCTCTGAGGTAATGGAACACCTTCGGCAGATGTTAGAGGTGAAAGCCAATTTCCACATTGGTTACCGGCCCCGGTCTTCTGGTCCGGTTGAAAGGATGAACTGAACGGTTGTCCATGTTTTGAAGAAATACATGTCGGCTAATTACAGAAACTGGGATGTGAAGCTTCAGTTGGTCCTGATGGCTGTTGGGGCCACTCCTCACGAGTCTACAGTCGTCTCCTCATTTGAGATGATGACGGGGAGACAGATGCCCCTACCACTCGACCTTGAGACCAGTGCTGCTTTGGCTTGCACTAACAACCAGCACTTGCAGAACTTGAAGGACCATCTTCCTGCAGCGTTTGCACAGAGGAATCTGGGGGAAACAGCTGAGCGCAGGAAGGCTTACTCACGCTGAACTTCACGTGGGTGATAAGCCCTGGTACTACAACTTTATTTCACAGTCCAGTCAGACTTAGGTTTGTGATGAAAACAATAATGTAAGGAAAGGGAGAGAGAGAGTGAACAGGAAAGAGGGAAATCAGTGGATCCTGAGGAAGGTGAAGTAGGTGGGGAGAGCAGAATAAAGAGAGGGTGGTGAAGGTCCCACCAAAGCCTGAACAGGTGAGTTTAAAGGAGACCACTGAGTCCACTGATCTCAGGCTCAGGGGGAGAGAGGTCCAGAGTCTGGGGCCACAGCAGCAGATGATCTGTCACCTTTGACCTTTAGCCTGGTGCTGCACAACCAGTAGGCTTTGGTCACTGGACCTCAGGGACCTGCTGGGGGTGTAGGGACTAAGAAGATCACCAATGTAAGATGGTGCTTGTCCATGTAAGGCCCTATAGACCAGAACCAGGATCTTGAAATGAACCCTGAAGTTGACTGGCAGCCAGTGAAGCTGGAGGAGAAGCGGGGTGATGTGGGTGTGTTTGGAGGACTTGGTCAGAAGCCGAGCACAGGCGTTCTGAACCACCTGTAGACGGTTCAGGGAGGTTCTGCTCAGACACGTGAAAAGAGAGTTACAGTAGTCTAAGCGTGAGGAGATGAAGGTGTGGAGAACAGTCTCAAGTTCAGAGCGGGACAGAATGGGACTCAGCTTAGCAACGTTCCTGAGATGGAAGAAGGAAGAGCGAACAAGAGAACTGACATGAGAATCCAGGGTGAGAGCTGGGTCAAAGGTCACAGACCTGACAGAGGATTTGGTGTGGGAAGCAAGCTGACCAAGAGAGTCTCTGACTTTGGGAACCAGCTTGTCTGGGGCACAGACAGAGCTCCATCAGATGGACCAGGAATGCCATCTACTGGCATCTTCTTCTCTCCTGGATTATCCTGGATTATTATGGTTCCTGGTCTTTGACGTGGCATTGGTAACGTTTTGTAAGTGGTTACTTTTAATAAATTGTCAATCAAATATAAAGGTATTCAATCTAATGTAATATTCCATAAAAATATGGATTATCGATATTGAAACTTTAATATTCGATTGAGGATTAAACTAGGTACTGTGGGTACGGCTAGGGAAACAACACTTTATAATACTTTTGACACAGAGGCAAAAGTGTAGTTAATAGAAATCTATGTATTATTATATTTGTACTACTATAATGATAGTTGATTATAAATGATGATTCAAAGTGATATCAAGTGAGACGATGAATGAACTAAGATGAAACGTGACCTTGTATGTTTGAAGAGCCTACTTAAGTAACTCAGAAAGGTGTGATGTCTGGGTTATGAAATGAATCTGGCTGATTGTTTAAAGAGGTTTAACAAGATATCATAATAATAAATAACACCATCCAACGCCTGCTGAGAGACTATGATTACCCTCGTGATGGGAGTTCTCAGTCGGTCCAGCTGGCAGGATGTCGTTTCAGCCAGGCTGCTGAGAGGGGTTGACCTCTGGAATGTCAAAGGTCACAGCTTCCTTTGAATTTGCACGGCTGGCCGATGAGATGCAACCTGCTGGCGGTCAGCTGAAGTTTGCATCTGACAGAGTTGTTTGCAGGCTTAGCAAACAGGTTATTGAGCCTTGAAACAGGATGATTCTCTATGCCGCTGGAACCATTCGGCTGACTGGCAAATGGAGGAAGTGATTTCTCTTCAAGATTTTGTGTTACAGCTATCAGGTTGAATGAAGACATGTTGGATGACAGCCAACAGGTCAAATAAGGACAGCTAACAAGTTTTATGAGGACAGCTCTCAAGTTGGATGACTACAGGTAACGGGTTGGATGAGGACAGGTTGGATGAGGACAGCTCTCAGGTTGCATGATGACAGCCTACTGATTGGATGAGGACAGGTTGGATGAGGACGCCTCTCAGTTTGGACATGTTGGATGACGACAGGTAACAGGTAGGATGAGGACATGTTGGATGAGGACAGCTCTCAGGTTGCATGATGACAGCCTACTGATTGGATGAGGACAGGTTGGATGAGGACAGGTTGGATGAGGACAGGTTGGATGAGGACAGGTTGGATGAGGGCAGATCTCAGGTTGAATGATGACGCCTCTCAGTTTGGACATGTTGGATGACGACAGCTCTCTGGCTGGATGAGGACCTACAGGTTTGATGAGGACAGCTTTCCAGTTGGATGATGACAACTCTGAGGTTGGACCCAGACGACCTAGTCCATGTAGGCTGGGAATGATGGCGGTTCCAGACTACATCGGTTCTGGTTTTTGAGTCATCTTTGTGAATAGATCTTTGAAGTATTTCTATCTGAGTAATTTTTAGAAATAAAATCAGATTTTAGAGCAGCCTTCATCCTGACATTTATCTGTCCTCATCCGGCATCCACATTTATCTTCAGACTGGAGGCTGTTCTATAGAATAAGCGTCTTGTTGTCAGAGATTAGTAGAGATTTTATTTTAATCCAACTTTGTATCTACTGTGTCCTGTTTTCAGCATTCCAGGCCCATCAAAAGCAGCCGGGAATATTCTGGATGACATTGGGAACATGTTTGATGAGCTGGCTGACCAGCTGGACGCCATGTTGGACTGATGGCATGCTCCAGGTAGACCCAGAGGAAGAGGTGGTTGGCGAGAACCAAGGTGGAAACTCCGGCTGCCGAAAGTGAATCCAATGCTGAAGTGACAAAAATTTCAGTTCCTCCCTCATCCACTAGGGGCAGGTTCCAAAACAGAGCAAGTTCCCATTGACTCCCATGTTTAAAAATGCGAACTTCGCAGCAGAAATAAACATGTTTACAGCCTAGTACAAAAAATCATTTAGGTTTAATAGTTCAAGTTTAACATCATGGCAACTCTGAGGGGGTGCCGCTGAGCTAGAAAATATGAATAATTAGAGGCGTGTCTGTTTGACTGACAGGCGGTTTATTTTAGGGGTTGCATGACTTAATTTTTTTTAAAGTCGACAGTCAAGTAGTGAAAATCGAGTCGACTTCGACTAGTCGTTGATGATGTCATACACCTGGAGCAGCGGCGAGGGGGTCAGTTGGTTCGCTGGAGTTTTTGGCAATTAAAATTAAAATTAACATTTTCAAAGTTAAACACATTTCTTTTAACAACGGTAGTTTCTGCTTCAGCCCTCTCCCCCCTCCCCCTGCGCCGCGGCCGCAAACTCACTGATGCGCCTGCAGCCTCTCAGAGTTCCTGCTGCTCTAAACATTAAAATAATTATTTCATTTTCTGTTCCTCACTTCTGATTACCTTCAATGGTGTCTGTTTGTTGCAACCAGCAGGTACAAAAACTAACTTGTTTTTATTTGACTATTTTTCTGTCCTGCCTGTTTATTATCTTCCTGCATCTCCTCTCAATCCTAAAGAGAAACTGCTACCTGGGTTCATATATATTCACCTCATGAGTTACCTTTGAACTGCAGTTCTAAAAGATCTACCGACCGCAAAAACAGCGGAGTGTGCGCTACGCGCCGGCCACAGTGCATCACCGGAGGACAAAACAGGTGATGCGCCCCGCTCCACAGCAGCGACATGCATCAGGCACAAATAAAAGACAGAAAACATAAAAGGAAATGAGCCGACATGAACGATCGCGTGTTAAATTAGTTTTTGAGGTGGCGACACCTGATTTGATAACGTTACTGTGGCCGTGCTCAGGACGTAGATGTCTGGAGTGCGTCAACAATCAGAGCTTTGCATGCACACGCTGGTTAAGGTTAGGATGGGGGTGAGGGGAAGGTTACATTGCAAGAGGGTAAAGGGTTAAATGATTCGTTAAATGTTCGTTTTACGGCGGGTGTCGGTACCGACGCTCTGGCACAGCGCGTTGCCTCCCGACGCGTAGGGGCTCGTCACCTGCTGACAGCAGGCTGCTGTCTTTTCCGAGGACTGCATCTTGTCATTATCACGTGACAGCGACTAGTCGATGACAGGCATAAAAAGTCACTATAGAGCTGTGAAGTCGACTAGTTCATACAACCCCTAGTTTATGTAGCGCGATGGTGAACCCACTTTGGGTCTGACGTAGCTCGATGGTGAACGGATGTGGGGTTTGGTGTAACGCAATAGAGAACAAAGCATTAGTTTCATTACTATTGATGGGCAGTGACGCCTCTGCATTAGGGGCAAGTAGGGCCAGGCCAGGCTGGACATTGAGCTTCCATTTTAAACATGGACGATTCTGAAATTGTGCACATGTGCAGCTGACTCTCAGCAGAAAGCTGTAGGGCCCGAACACTCCGGCCCAATCAAATGATGAGAACAGCACACTTGGCTTCACGTTTCTGTTGTTGGACAGTAAGTGTGCTGTGGCACTAATCCACACTCTGTATCGCTAGGTGGCAGTAAGACACTTCAAGTATCATTTCCCAGCCACCGTAATACACAGGTAAGAAGAAGAGGACAGAAGCCGCCATGTTACTGGAAGCTATTCAGGCTGTTTAAGGAACTTTTCAGCACTCTAACGGATTACGGGGCGTTACGTGGGCGCCTGCACAGAACACAATGGGACAACAAAGGTTAAATGCACTAACTGTGCTCTCCATTAAAACCAAATTATTCATGGGTTACTGGACTTTGACAGCACAGGTATGGAACAGTTTGCTCAGATGTTTAAGAAATAAACACACGTGAGTAACCCTTTATTTACAATCTCATACGTAAAATATTTATTCTTTAAATGCATTTAAATATTAGCATTTGCAGTGTGTAGGTTTGTGCTATGTATGGTTTACATGATATGGAGTGTGTGTGTGTAGTACAGGCCAAGAGTTTGGACACACCATCTTTATGTTCATGACCATTTACTTTGGGAGATTCTCACTGAAGGCATCAACACTATGAATGAACACGTGAGGAGTTCTGGACTTGACCAGAAAAGGTGAAATAACTGAAAACGTGTGTTTTCTCTGAAAGAGCCGCTCTATGTTCTGATTACTGCTCTGCACACTCTTGATGAGCTTCCAGAGGTAGTCCTTCCAGACCGTTGGAAACCCGTTTCCGGTGACCACCCGCTGAAGCTCACCGAGAGAGCGCCGTGTTATGTTGGTAGGGACGTAGCTGCTAATGTGTAAACCTTTTGTTTGTTGGAACTTTTTCTTTCGGAGACTGCTAAAGGAGCGTCCTCCTTGTGGGACTCCAGATGTTTGTGTTGTATTTTTCTGTATTTGTCTTTAAAACCTTAAAGTGATTAAAGTGACGTGATGGTGTTTCTGTGGATGCTTCCAGTTACAGCAGAACATACCAGCTATGGCTGGACCACTGCTGGGGACATTAAAACACACACTTGCTTCTGTTTGGTCCAAACTCTGTATTTGGCTACAACAGGCTCAAAACGACAGAATTACAAACCAGACTCTGGAAATCCGGTGTGGACCAACTGGGAAAGCTTTAAAAAATCAAACAGAATCGACAGAATCCAGTAGATCCAGGTTCTTCTCATTTAGTCTAAAACAGCGTTTATGTACAGATTCACCAAAAGCAACAGGAACAATCAGGTGTGTTGGAATCAGAGCCGGGAGGACATCAGGCCATCCCACACGCCATGGATCTTTTCTACTTATCAGACTTAGTTTCTAAATGTTCCACTTCAGATGATTTAATCAGAAAATACCTGGAATTCCTGCATGAACAGGAAGCTGGCTTTCCAGCAGTCATTAATCAGGAAGGGAGGAGGAGAATTAAAACAACAGAATGATCTGATAATACTGTTAGACATGGGCCTAGAACGCCCTGTGGGACCAGCAAGGTTCTGGGTCCTCCAGCAGGGGGCAGCAGCAGGTTGATGCTGGACTTCTATAAGTTGCCAAACAGTTCGTTCCTCTTGCTCCAGTCCATGGGGGGCGCTTTCTTAGCAGCTCGCTTCTGATGGGCTCGCTCCTTGGCTTGGGCCAGCGACATGCTCAGACCCAAGCTGTCTGAAGCGGTGGCTGGCTCCACCTGAGTGCGCACACACACACACACACACAGGGTTGAGTGTCTGACGCCAGGCTGCAGTGGTTCTCTAAAGGTTCTGGTCTTACCTGTGGATGAGGAGGAGAGCTGTGAGCTTCTGCTGGCATGGAGGCATTAGATGAGTCAGAAGAGGATGAACTCACTGAGACTTTAGGCTTCAGCTGGGCTGCGTCCTGTCACACACACACACACACACACACACACATTATTCATTATGTAGGTCGCATTCCGTTCACGGTAGAAAGTGGTGGTGTAGGAGGCAGGATGTGATGGAGGAACACAGGAGCCCGTTTCTGGGACAGGTGTGATCTATAACCTCGACACGGATCGACTACCCCGCTACAAGATGAAACTTAGAAAATCTTTCAAATGTCTTAAATATCTGATGAATAGTTTTCCTCCTTCAAGCCTAACCTGTTGTCCAATAGGCAGGGGCGTGTCGGGGGGGGGGGGGGGGGGGGGTTGGTCCACCCAATCAGATGGCTTCCTTAAAAAAACTGTGTAAATGTACTTATTTTATTTGGAAGAGTGAGTTTTCAGGCCATACAACTACGTGAAACAAAATAGAATTTAAAGTGACAGCGTGTCTTTGATACAGTGGGATGTGAAAGTTTGTGCAGCCTTCATGGTTTTCCTGTATAAATCGTTGGTTGTTACAATAAAAATTTCCGGTAATTACAGGGAGTGCAGAATTATTAGGCAAGTTGTATTTTTGAGGAATAATTTTATTATTGAACAACAACCATGTTCTCAATGAACCCAAACAACTCATTCATATCAAAGCTGAATGTTATTGGAAGTAGTTTGTAGTTTTAGCTGTTTTAGGGGGATATGTGTGTAGGTGACTATTACTGTGCATAATTATTAGGCAACTTAATAAAAAACAAATATATACCTATTTAAATTATTTATTTTTACCAGTGAAACCAGTATAACATCCCCACATTCCCAAATATACATTTCTGACATTCAAAAACAAATCAGCGACCAGTATAGCCACCTTTCTTTGCAAGGACACTCAAAAGCCTGCCATCCATGGACTCTGTCAGTGTTTTGATCTGTTCACCATGAACATTGCGTGCAGCAGCAACCACAGCCTCCCAGACACGGTTCAGAGAGGTGTACCGTTTTCCCTCCTTGTAAATCTCACATTTGATGATGGACCACAGGTTCTCAATGGGGTTCAGATCAGGTGAACAAGGAGGCCATGTCATTTGTTTTTCTTCTTTTAGACCCTTTCTTGCCAGCCGCGCTGTGGAGTACTTGGACGCGTGTGATGGAGCGTTGTCCTGCATGAACATCATGTTTTTCTTGAAGGTTGCAGACTTCTTCCTGTACCACTGCTTGAAGAAGGTGTCTTCCAGAAACTGGCAGTAGGACTGGGAGTTGAGCTCGACTCCATCCTCAACCCGAAAAGGCCCCACAAGCTCATCTTTGATGGTACCAGCCCAAACCAGTACTCCACCTCCACCTTGCTGGCGTCTGAGTGGGACTGGAGCTCTCTGCCCTTTACCAGTCCAGCCACGGGCCCATCCATCTGGCCCATCAAGACTCACTCTCATTTCATCAGTCCATAAAACCTTAGAAACATCAGTCTGGAGATATTTCTTGGCCCGGTCTTGACGTTTCAGCTTGTGTGTCTTGTTCAGTGGTGGTCGTCTTTCAGCCTTTCTTACCTTGGCCATGTCTCTGAGTGTTGCACACCTTGTGCTTTTGGGCACTCCAGTGATGCTGCAGCTCTGAAATATGGCCAAACTGGTGGCAAGTGGCATCTTGGCAGCTGCACGCTTGACTTTTCTCACTTCATGATCAGTTATTTTGCGCCTTGGTTTGTCCTCACGCTTCTTGCGACCCTGTTGACTGTTTTGAATGAAACACTTGATTGTTCGATGATCACGCTTCAGAAGCTTTGCAGTTTTAAGACTGCTGCATCCCTCTGCAAGATATCTCACTATTTTTGACTTTTCTGAGCCTGTCAAGTCCTTCTTTTGACCCGTTTTGCCAAAGGAAAGGAAGTTAATTATGCACACCTGATATAGGGTGTTGATGTCATTAGGCCACACCCCTTCTCATTACAGAGATGCACATCACCTAATATGCTTAACTGGTAGTAGGCTTTCGAGCCTATACAGCCTGGAGTAAGACAACATGCATGAAGAGGATGATGTGGACAAAATACTCATTTGCCTAATAATTCTGCACTCCCTGTATATTTATTATGGACATCAAAACATCCCACCATACATAAAATGTCAGTTATCAGAACATTATAGTACAGAGCAAATATAATACCAGAAGAACAAGATCGCAAACTGGAGGATTGACACATCCAATATGCATTAAAAACCTGCAGCTAACCAACAAGGGCAATAAGAAAAGACAAACTACAAACAACAATATAAAGAAAAACAAACCAACAAAAAGAACCAGAAACACAGACAGACCAGAATCAAAACCAGTAATAACCCTTCTATATAGAAAAAATGATAACGATGACAAAACACACCAACACAACCGTACATGACAGTCAGAAAATAATTAGTGCACCCAAAATACAAGATATCAACAGATAAATGTGGAGTCGAATACGAAATACCATGCAGTCGAAGACACACAAGAGCAGCCAAACAAGAAGCAGAAAGTACAATAAAGAAGTCAGCCGTAACAGACCACTGCACAAGAGAAAACCATGTAATGGACTGGGACGGTACACGGATCATAAACACAACAAAATACAAACGATGGATCATGGAAGCCATAGAGATACGGAGGCGTGGGCACAAAACCCTGAACAGAGATGATGGAACATACACGTTGGATCACAAACGGGACGATGTCATCAGCAAGAAGGATGCGGGCAGCAGAGGGCGACATCGTCCTCTGCTGCCCGCGGATAAAAGGAAGTGACGCCACCATCACCGGTGATCTCTCATGACGGCTAGAGCTACAAGCTGAAACATGTCAGGTAAAAAAACTGTTTTCTCTGCATCACTCTCACAAACAGCATCTCCTTGTGTAAAGTGCGCCAAATAGTTAAACGATGCACAGTGACTCCATCAGCAAGATGATGTTGTAGATCTTTTGTGCTGGTCTATGGCTTGACTCTGACTGCCCTCTCCATTTTTCTTGTTTATCCCAGGTGCCTGTGGTCTTCCATTTCCTCAGTAGGTTGCTAACCATGGAAACAGACGGCGGAGATCTCTGAGACAGCTTTCTGTGTCCGTCTCCTAAAACCGTGATGGTGAACCATCTTTGTGAGAGTTTTTTAGACCCCCTTGTTGCTGCTCTTCGGGGAACATTCAAAGAGGAGGGACACTTACAATTGTTCGCCTTAAATAGTCTTTCTCATCACTGGATTCACCTGTGTACGGAGGTCAAGGGTCACTGAGCTTACCAAACCAATTTTGAGTTCAAAAGATTTTGGAACCAATAAAATGACAAAGGTAAACCAGCACCGTAGGGACGAAAGATCATCAGCATACATGAAATGATTGATGAGATCGTCTCCCACCATAGAGCCAGCCCTCGATCAGTCTAACAGACAGTTCATCCACCTATTGGTTAGAAGGAATACGTGAACCAGGCAAACACCGTTTGACACAAGACAGGAGCTGATACACAGTAAGCTTGTTTCACCTGCATAGTTTGGTGTTTGTACCAGTATTTTAAAATCCATATCAAATACGAGGGGACTAGGGCTGCAACAACGAATCGATAGAATCGATAATGAAATACGCTGGCAACACATTTCTTCATTTCGTAAAGAAGTGCTAAAACCTAAGATGACAAGGTTTTTGGATTTTTCACGGCTGTAATTTTAAAATAATCTGATGTTTCTAACTGGTGTGGCAAAAACAGAGACTAGCTTCCGGTCGAAGCCCTGGACAGCCGGTGACGTTTCACAAGGAGCTGGAACATCTATAGTAAACAACCCCGACTCCGGTGTTTCTGCGTTAGCGTTATAGCAGAACAACGTGTCATCAGTCAGATGTAGCTCCTGAAGCCTCTGCCAGTCGGTCACATTTGTTTTTCTCTGGGAAACGGCGACAAGAACGGATACGGGATTACCGCAGAAGTTCAACCGAACTTCGACCCCGCTAGCTGGATATCACTACCAGAGGTGCAGACATGTTTTAGACCGTCTGACTCAGAAGACCCGTGACCCGATTTGGACATCGAGGAGGGTTCTGTTCATCTTCAGAACCAAAATTGGTTCCGTTTGTTTACTTTTCATAAATATTTCCTCTCTGTGCTCCACCGGGAGCTCTCAGCTGGTCGTAGCTCCATCATGTGTCCCAACATAATTCAGTAATCTACAGATAAAGTAATGTGCTGCCAGATTTACCTCTGCGTGTATATGTTGATATAACTCCAGAAAAGATTTAACCGCTAATTTACCAGAATAAATCGTCCTGATGCTGGAGTAACTCCTTAGTTTGACTCGTTGTTTAAAACCCGGGATGGCACGGAGGTTCTACCGGTCCCAGGAGGATCGACCGACCGATCAATCATCCTATCTCTCTCTCTAAGTATATATATATATATATATATATATATATATATATATATATATATATGTATATATATATATATATATATATATATATATATGTATATATATATGAACAGCTTCGAGCTCATTAGCATAATTGGGACCACCCACTTTTGTATGAGTTTCTGGATTTGCTATTGCCAACCGGGGTAGGAAGAACCTGCGGAGTGTAGGGATCCATTTTGTTAAAGGGACTTTACGGAGTTTTGAATTTTTATGCTCGCGATCGCCCCCTCAGGCCAAAAGCGTAATGGCAGCTTCAGTAGTAGGCTCGTGCACGAGGCGCGCATGCTGTACGTGCACACTCCTTAATGAAAATAACAGCTGAGACAGTCCCATGTGTGTCTCTCTCTGTGTGTGTGTGTGTGTGTGTGTGTGTGTGTGTGTGTGCGCGTGTGTGTGTGTGTGTGGCCTGGAGGACAGAGGACAGGAGAACGTGCAGCTAATTAATTAAATAATGTGGTTCTGTACCTTTCTCTTCAGCACAGCCGACAAAGGTTTATGATGGGTCAGTCCTCCTGCATGCTCAGATCATTCCCTTCCCTTGCTTGAAAAATTGTTCCAAAATGAAAGTTGAACCCACATCTTTTTATCTGTGAATTCAATGCCGTTCGGCGAGTCTCAGATAAAAGTTTGGGCATCTTACTGTAAAAAAATACCATTAATGTAAAAAATAAACACTAAATAAACTATGTTCACATCCAGAATCGAACGCGGGTCTCCTGCAAGAGAGTCCGACGCCTAACTAAGTAAGCTAAAGCACCAGTGACATCTTTGGTATCTGTAACATTTATATCCTTGATGACAGCTGAAACAACGTTCAAAGAACGGTTCGGAGTGAAAATGGCTGTTTTGTTGCTAATCTGCAGGAAATATCTAGAAGAAAGTTCTACAGAAAGTAGCTAAGGGTCCTCAGAAATGTAGCTAGCTTTGTCACTAGGCGTTAGGAACAGCGACAAAGTGGCACTGCCTCTCTCTCTGCTGCTAAAGCTACGGATAGCAAATGCTACGGGCGATGCCTGAGCGTGAACGCGCATGAAGCAGCCTGCTCGACCCGAGCATCTCTCTTTTTCTGTGATTTTACAGAAAAACAGGCAATCACAGTAAACATGCCAGGGCTCATTCTACAGGACCAGGGCATTGCAGGAGAATGTATGAAGAAGACATTTATTATTTCTATACATGTTTTGGCTGTCACACTTCCATAATGTCCCTTTAACTAACTACAGCTGAAGCTGCAGGTCATCAGAGCTCCAATTCTGCTTCTGTCTGACCCAACATCCACCAATCACAGCCCAGATGAAAAATAACACTGGGTTTGGGCAGCAGTCTGGTGGAAGGCTTCTGAGAGCGAACCTGAATGGGTCTCAGCAGGAGCATGGCGTACACACACACACACACACACACACACACACACACACACACACACACACACACACACACACACACACACACACACACACACACACACACACACACACACACACACACAGAGCAGTGTGATGTAACAGCTGCTGAATGACTGATTGTTTTGCTGCAGGAGCAGAAACTGGCAAAGTGAGTGAGCAGCCCTGAACTCGTTAACACAATCCTGTGATGTAGCGAGCCCTGAGCCATTTTCCAATACTACGAGTACCCCCTCAGTCAAACGTGTTGATGGTTCTCCAAAAGTTCGTTTATTAAAGGGGAAAATCCCTCTTTTGGAGCTTTTTAGCATGTGATATTTTTGTTTCCTCATCAAAAATACCCCCAAATCTGTTTTTGGCAGCATATGTGCATTTTCCAAGTTCAGCTGCAAATTTAGAATTTTATTTAGAAATTCTGAAGCGGCCTAATGTATAAGTTGGTAAATGTTCACATCCCGGTCTGAGCCGTAACATTTTTCTTCATTTTTAGCTGCACTTGCCAGTACGATATTTTCAATAAGGGCTGGGCGATCAACCGAAAATGTATATTTATCAAAATTTATGGCTCCAACCAATGTCATTTTTCTCATATCTGTAAATTCGATAACAAAAAAATAATAGTAGTGAGTAGGTTATTGATGTTCATGTACCTTTGAGGAGCTGTGACAGACTGTCTGCATCACAGTTAGTCATGTGGAGTCATGTAGGTGTTTCTCAATGCCAAGGAACCTTGCCTTGATGTCTTGGCCCCGCCCCGGTTGCCTAGGAGATACGTCATCGGAAACCACGGAGACGTGTTCCAATGTTCATGTTCTACTGAGGCGTACGTTCTCCGTTTGTTAGCTGTTTAGCTAGCTGAGCAAGGATACACCGGAGGTGTCTTGTAGCCTAGCCTTGGTCAAAAATGACCCACAATACACTGCAGTGTTCTCAGAAGGATCAGAACCCAGCAGCTACTTTTGGGGCAAGTTTCAACTGACTAGCTATTGAGCTGATATCGAAAATGTTTTTTTAGATCCAAAGCAGTTACCTGTGGTTGGTTAGTTGCTTAGTAGTTGCAGCTTCGGTGGCTAGCGGGTAGCAACTCACTTAAATATTTATTTTAACAAACATATACACAATTTAAAAAGTAAAAGGCTCGTTATGTATTTATATTGAAACTAACACACACACACACACACACACACATATATATATACACACATATATATATATATATACACATATATATATATACATATATATATATACACATATATATATATATATATATATATATATATATATATATATATATATATATATATATATATATACATATATACACATATACATATATACATATATATATATACATATATACATATATACATATATATATATATATATATATATACATATATACAGGTGCTGGCCAGTAAATTAGAATATCATCAAAAGGTTGAAAATATTTCAGTAATTCCATTCAAAACGTGAAACTTGTACATTATATTCACGCAATGCACACAGACCAGTGTATTTCCAATGTTCATTACATTTAAATTTGATATTCATAAGTGACAACTAATGAAAAATCCAAATTTGGTATCTCAAAAAATTAGAATATTCTGAAAAGGCTGAATATAGAAGACACCTGCTGCCACTCTAATCAGCTGATTTACTCAAAACACCTGCAAAGGCCTTTAAAAGGTCCCTCAGTCTTGTTTTGAAGGCACCACAATCATGGGGAAGACTTCTGACTTAACAGCTGTCCAAAAGACAATCATTGACACCTTGCACAAGGAGGGCAAGACACAAAAGGTGATTGCTAAAGAAGCTGGCTGTTCGCAGAGCTCTGTGTCCAAGCACATTAACAGACAGGCGAAGGGACGGAAAAAATGTGGTAGAAAAAAGTGTACAAGCTCTAGGGATAACCGCACCCTGCAGAGAATTGTGACGACAAACCCATTCAAAAATGTGGGGGAGATCCACAAAGAGTGGACTGCAGCTGGAGTCAGCGCTTCAAGAACCACCACGAGGAGACTCATGAAAGACATGGGATTCAGGTGTCGCATTCCGTGTGTCAAGCCACTCTTGAACAAGAAACAGCGCAAGAAGCGTCTCGCCTGGGCCAAGGACAAAAAGGACTGGACTGATGCTGAGTGGTCCAAAGTTATGTTTTCTGATGAAAGCAAGTTCTGCATTTCCTTTGGAAATCAAGGACCCAGAGTCTGGAGGAAGAGCGGAGAAGCACAGAATCCACGTTGCATGAGGTCCAGTGTAAAGTTTCCACCGTCAGTGATGGTGTGGGGTGCCATGTCATCTGCCGGTGTTGGCCCACTCTGTTTCCTGAGGTCCAGGGTCAATGCAGCCGTCTACCAGGAAGTTTTAGAGCACTTCATGCTTCCTGCTGCTGACCAACTTTATGGGGATGCAGACTTCACCTTTCAACAGGACTTGGCACCTGCACACAGTGCCAAAACCACCAGCACCTGGTTCAAGGACCATGGTATCCCTGTCCTTGATTGGCCAGCAAACTCGCCTGACCTTAACCCCATAGAAAATCTATGGGGTATTGTGAAGCGGAGGATGCAATACGCTAGACCCAACAATGCAGAGGAGCTGAAGACGACTATCAGAGCAACCTGGGCTCTCATAACACCTGAGCAGTGCCACAGACTGATCGAGTCCATGCCACGCCGCATTACTGCAGTTATTGAGGCAAAAGGAGCCCCGACTAAGTATTGAGTGCTATACATGCACATTCTTTTCATGTTCATTCTTTTCAGTTGGCCAACATTAGAGAAACAAACATTTTTTCATTGGCCTTTAGAATATTCTAATTTTCTGAGATACCAGATTTGATGTTTTCATTGGTTGTCACCTATAAATATCAAATTTAAATGTAATGAACATTGGAAATACATTGGTCTGTGTGCATTGCATGACTATAATGTACAAGTTTCACGTTTTGAATGGAATTACTGAAATATTTTCAACCTTTTGATGATATTCTAATTTACTGGCCAGCACCTGTACACACACACATATATATATATATATATATATATATATATATATATATATATATATATATATATATATAAATATATATATATATATGTATATATATATATAGTATCCCCTTCTTAACATGACATCAGGACTTCCCATGTAAGGAAGGTCCGCTCACCTGTTCGTCAGATCATTATTTCCTCGCCATGATCTTTTATCTTCCCATCATCATCCAGTCATCCAACTGGAACCAGTTAGTGTTCCTGATCATTCTCAGAATATGCCACGCCTGCTCTGGTGTTAAAAGTTAGTACATTTAAGTCCTAGATCATATTTGTGCCTGCTCTACTGTCATTTTGAAGGATTATTATTTATATGTGTGTTTTTACTACATTATGAGTAGAAATGCTAATAAAAACTCCCAATTATACAAACAAGTGAAACTGGAAAAATTAGAATCTGGTGCAAAGTCAAATTTATTTCAGTCATTCAACTAGACAGAGAGACTATTTAAAGGCTCAGGAACCCTTTGCAGGTGTTTTCTATTTGTAATTATAAATTTTAGTTGATTTGGGTCTTGTTTCATATCACACAGTGACATTTGAATAATTAAAATGTATTTTTTTATTAAAAGCTTTAGTTTACAGTAATAACCATGTCTAATGCTTGATTCTCTATCTCATTTTAATTAAAAGTTTTACTTTGAGAGCACAATTTCCTGAATGATTAAAATGCGATTAATTAAGATTAATTAATTACAAAGCCTGTAATTAATTAGATAAAAATTTTTAATCAAGTCCCAGCCCTAATATATATATATATATATATATATATATATATATATATATATATATATATGTGTGTGTGTATATATACATATATATATACACGTATATATATATGTACCGGTATGTATAACTAGAGGTAGAGGTCCTTACCGTCTCATCTGCAGCTCCCTCTGGTGCAGGCTCAGGAAGAGGACCTACAGAACAGACATAATGTTGCCGTTAGTTTGTTCTCCATCACACCCTCTGAGGAATGTTTTCATTCTTCTACAAGAATCACCAGAAACTGACTGTGATGGGTACGTTACCCCCACCAGAGGAAGATAACTCACCCATCACAGATAAATCGTCGGTGTAATTCAACACAGTGTAGTTTAAGCTGAGTTACACCGAGTTTAGTTACCTGAACCGAATATGTGCCGGTGTTGTAGCAGCGACTGCACAGAACACCGGCACCAAATTGATGACATCATTCTGTTGGTGTTTTTGAAAAACAAAAAAGATGTTTGCTCTCTATGGGAACAGCAGTGGCTGAGATGTTAATGGCCCGCCTCATAACCGGAAGGTTGTGGAATCGAGTTCCACTCAGTCTGCTGCAGTCATTGTGCCCTTGGGCAAGACACTTAACCCACTTTACCTGCTGGTGGCATCTGTGTACAGCAGCCCCACTTCTGTCAGTGTGCCCCAAGGCAGCCGCGGCTACAATGTGGATGTTTTTTCTAAAGAACTTCGATGGGAATCCTCCTCCAAACATGCAAAACAACCGAATCATAGGCAAAATGCCACGCTTCTTCCCGCGCACTATTGTGATGCAACACGAGAAACATCAAGACTGACGCCACAAAAGTTCCTCCTATTGTTAAGCTAACGTTTTAGCTAACAAGCCCTTAGCTTAGCGTCAATGTTAGAAGTACAAAACAACAAGATCAAAGGCAGAAGTGGCCGTAAACCTTTTTAGCTCCTTGCTAGCTTCAGCCCCAGCTCTGTTAGCACAGCTCTGATGAAAAGGATCACACCTTTTACAATGCCACGCCCCTCCGTATAATCCGTGCGTGTGCACGGGCACGCAGACTAGTGATGAGAAAATGATTAGGGATCATCGTATGATTATTAGCAAATCACATGAGAATTCTGTACAGCTACTTTCCCTGCAGATTAGCAACAAAGAAACCGTTTGCACTCCCAACTGTTCTTCGGGGAGCGAGGAAAGGGAATGATAATCTGCACATGCGCACAAGGACATAAACCTTTCTCAGACGGGCTGACGAGAAAGCTACAGCTGCAGAGCTGGAGACCGCCGAATCTGCTGCTGATTCGCTGATTTTTGCCAAAAAGCGACACCTTTGCAAGTATGAGACGGACGTATTTTAAATGCGTGTCAAATACTAACCAAACTGTGATTGAAGCCTTTAAGACTTCTCAGTACCCTGCGGATATCCTGCGTTTTGAAAGTGTATCTGGTGGTGATTTAGTGTCACTTTCTCTCTTTCTTTCTTTTCCTTATATGGATTTGTCTTTTTAGCATGATTTGGCATCATATGGAAATCTGATTGGTGTCTTTTATATTCTAGTTGTTTGATCCAGTCTGGTGGGGTGGGTGGGGTTTGGGATTATTTGCTAATCTTTATTATGTTCTGTGCTTTAAAAAAAAACCCTAATAAAAAGACCTCGTTCAAAAGATGTTGCTTCAGTAAGAAGGGAAGGGTGGTGAGGGAATGGAAGGCAGCTCAGATGCTACCAGTGGCACCAGGCAGGTGTGCGTAAATCCAACTATCCTTTCATTTCTTTAGTTTGCTGTTCTCCAGCCTTTATTTTGTTAGCTACCTCAGGTGCACTCGCCCTGCTGGTCTCCCCCCACACACACACACACACACACCCGCTTCTACGTTTAAACCGATATCTGCCGCTAATATTTGTGTTGGATCCCACAGGATCCCAATCCTCTTGCTGGGCTCTAAGTTACTGTTATCAAGGTGAAGCGCTAAACATATCGTGATACTGGTTTGAGGCCCTAGTTACCGGCGACATGCTCCTCGGTGGGCAGGACGTTGCACCTCTTGAAAAACTCCTCGGTGTCGGCATCGATGACCAGCAGCCTGGTCTCATCTCCGCCAGCTTTGATGGCCGTCACCACCTCAGAATGCTGCATCCCCGCCACCGGCACACCGTTGACCTAAAGAGGACACAGGAGACAGTCAGCTTGGCTAAACTGGTCACTGGTCAACATAACCAGATGGCTTGGGTTCATGTAGGATCTGGATCTGTTTAATTCAACAGGAAATTCCAATCAGACGGATCGCTGAAGAAATCCCTGTCTGACGACATTCCCAACATGGATCTCTTGGAAGTTGGGACTACTAGTAGGACTGCTCAGTTAATCAGACTTAGTAAGTAAATACATTTATACATCTATATAGCACAGGAGATCAGTAAGTGCTTCACATGAATCAAACAAAACAAATAATAATGTCATGAAATCATAATGATTTTAACACAGAAGCAAATCAGTTGCTCTGATGTAGGTTTATTACAGGGGGGGGGGGGGGGGGGGGGGAGCAGCTCCACTCCACCTAAATACTGCAGCAGGGCAGGGGACTTTGGTGATCATCTTCTGGGTGCACGCCCACCTGTGACAGGTGGACTCCAGGGTGGTCAGAAGGGTCACTGAACGGTTACCATTCCACTTCACACCATGCAAGGTGTTGGCTTCAACCATGGCTATGTTCTCTGTAAAGGATCCACGCCCGCTCACTTCAGATAAGCATCATCTTGTAGGCCCATTTTCTTGGTTTTCCTGCTAGATGTTGCTTCAGTCGAGGCCTTTTCTTGAACGGGACCGATCGGCCACCAGCTCCGGGAGCCAGGATCACCCAGCCCCTGTGATCAGCTCAAACACCACCCCTCCTCCAGGCTGCTGATGAGCATGCTTTTTTATTATCAACTTTGAGATTTAGTAAGAAAACTCCTTCTGGTCCAGAAAACCTTTAACAAAGTTTTAACCAGGGGCTTAATGTTGATAATTCATCCATTAAATATTAACCCTTTAGTCTTGGTTTTGTTTGGCGTTATTTTAATAATGCTCTCCATCTGTTTGATCACTGGTTTTATGATAATTAACCCCATTTTAAACACACTGTCATGTTCTTATGTCCTCCTTCACATTTGAACACCACCTGTCGGGGTCGTAACGTTCATCAAGGGCCAGCTTCTCCCTCTTTGGGATTGAAGTCAGTTTTGATGATGAATGGGAAACTCGTCATTTTCCTCTTTCTTTTATAAAGTAAAGGCCTTTTCGTCTGTAATTGTACATAAAATAGTGTTTCAGGGGCAAAGTAAAAACTACATGAATAGAAGCGTGTTGTAAGAAAGCAGATGTCCAAAGAAGTGCTCTGACTGCAAAACAAATTGGGTCTTAAGAGAAACACACATTTGATTTGTCTTCACACGCTCTTGTGCCACACCTCTCAGTTTCTCAAGAGCGGCAATAAAAATACATTCAGATTTCTGTTCCATGTGAGATGATTTTCATTCAAATGAACGTGTCATTTTAACAGAGGTGTGACATTGTGGCACCATCAAGTCATCTCCATGTCAAGTTTTTGTTCTGCTCACTAATGAAACCAGGTGATTACAGTCAGCACAGTGAATTAACCTGGTTCAGTTGCTGAGCAGAACAAAAACATGACATGGAGATGACTTGATGATGCCACAATGTCACACCTCCGCATTTAAATTTACATTTACTTCTGTCTGAATAAAATCGTGCTTATTCTCCTAACTTGGCCAAAAAGACTCTTCCTGTAAACCTGTTGATAAGTTGCTCTGATTCTGACACTGACCGTATTTTCAGTAATCCATCAGAGATGATCTGGTATCTGCAGCTGCTGCCGTGCCTCAAGTTGATCCGTGCACGGGCACCAGAAGCTTTGAGCAGCGGTGTTACAAACGCGAGATCATTTCTAACTACTGTGATATTTGTGCTGAAGTAAAACGCCAGAATGAAGGACATTTACTAGAGTCGTTTAACAGCTGAGAGATACCCGCATCTCCAACTTGTGCGACCTAGGAGATGAGTGTCCAGCCGGCCGATGCCCATGCAAGGGTGTGCAGACGAACAAGGAACAAAGTGACTGGAGATGGTGGACGAATGAGGAACAGGACAAGGACCACAAGCTATGGATCTACCTGGCATTCATTCATAGGCTGAACATTCCAGATGTCCCAGTACATCTTGGAACCTGAGTGGTGCTTTAATCGTTTTCCTTTTCTTCTTCCGTTCATCTCCAAGATCTTGGAAAAGGTTGTGGCTAAACAACTCACAGCTGCTCTTGATGAACATAACATCTATGATAGCTTCCAGTCAGGTTTTCGTAGAGCTCATTCTACTGAAACAGCTCTTCTTAGGGTCTCTAATGACCTTCTGACCCACAGTGATGCAGGGGACTGTTCTGTTCTGGTCCTGCTGGACCTGACTGCAGCCTTTGACACTGTTGACCATCACCTGCTACTGGAGAGGCTGAGAGACTGGGTCGGCCTATCAGGAACTGCTCTGGAGTGGTTCTCCTCTTATCTCTCTGAGCGCTCCTTTTCTGTGGCCATCTCCAAGTTTAGGTCCTCCACCACCTCTCTTACCCATGGTGTCCCACAAGGTTCTGTGCTGGGGCCTCTGCTCTTCCTCCTCTATCTGCTTCCTCTTCAGCACATCCTGAGCTCCTTCAAAGGATTCTCTTACCATCTTTATGCAGATGCCATCCAACTGTGCATCTCCTTTAAGCCCCATGAGATGTCTAAGCTGCAGCTGTTACACACCTGCTTAGACTCTATCAAAACCTGGATGGTGGGAGCTTTCTTCAGCTGAATGAAGATAAGACTGAGATCCTCATCTGTGCCCCAGACAAGCTGGTTCCCAAAGTCAGAGACTCTCTTGGTCAGCTTGCTTCCCACACCAAACCTTCTGTCAGGAATCTTGGTGTGACCTTTGACCCAGCTCTCACCCTGGATTCTCATGTCAGTTCTCCTGTTCGCTCTTCCTTCTTCCATCTCAGGAACGTTGCTAAGCTGAGTCCCATTCTGTCCCGCTCTGAACTTGAGACAGTTCTCCACACCTTCATCTCCTCACGCTTAGACTACTGTAACTCTCTTTTCACGTGTCTGAGCAGAACCTCCCTGAACCGTCTACAGGTGGTTCAGAACGCCTGTGCTCGGCTTCTGACCAAGTCCTCCAAACACACCCACATCACCCCGCTTCTCCTCCAGCTTCACTGGCTGCCAGTCAACTTCAGGGTTCATTTCAAGATCCTGGTTCTGGTCTATAGGGCCTTACATGGACAAGCACCATCTTACACTGGTGATCTTCTTAGTCCCTACACCCCCAGCAGGTCCCTGAGGTCCAGTGATCAAAGCCTACTGGTTGTGCAGCACCAGGCTAAAGGTCAAAGGTGACAGATCATCTGCTGCTGTGGCCCCCAGACTCTGGACCTCTCTCCCCCTGAGCCTGAGATCAGTGGACTCAGTGGTCTCCTTTAAAAAGCAGCTGAAGACTCACTTGTTCAAGCTGGCTTTTGTATGACCTTCTTCACCTCTCTCTCTTTATTCTGCTCTCCCCACCTATTCCACCTTCCTCAGGATCCACTGGTTTCCCTCTTTCCTGTTCACTCTCTCTCTTTCTTAACATTTTTTAAAATCACAATTGTCTATTTTTGCTCATTTTAAATATATTTTTAAACATTTTCTGAATGCTTTTTTACATTTTTTGTTTTTGTGAAGCAAAAGCACCTCGTGATTTTTATCTTGAGAGGCGCTATAGAAATGATATTTTCTTCTTCTTCTCTTGTCAAATGAGGATGTTAGCAGCTCAGGCTAGCACTAACAGTAGCTTAGGCTAGCGTTGTTCTGCTGTTAGCATTATGTAATGAACATTTAAATATCGCGTAAGGAGGTGTGCCTAAGCTAATGACATGTTATACTAGATTTTCTCAGTAATCGTTTCTCCCTCGCCATCACAACATTACTAATTCTGCTCTGACTGAGGTGACGTGGCATTCCTTCAAATAGATGAGGTAAAAAGAAAACCTCGTTGCTGCCTGCTGAAGTGCAAGTTCTGTGAGACCGGGTTGGGACAGCAAGCCAACAAAGAAGTGGTCGGCACCAACTCCAGAGGAGTTTGAGAAAAGAGAACTTCCGTCGACTTGTTATGCTGTCTGAAGTCAGCAGGAGCAGCTACTGGGGCTTCTGGAGGAGGTGAAACAACCGCGCCTCCAGAATGCCAAAAAAGACATTGGACCTGGAGCGGCGGGTAGACGAGCTAGAGCCATACTCCCATATGAATGATGTGGTCATCACTGGCATTAAGATCAAACCGCGCTCATATGCGCTAGCGGTGGTCACGAACAGCGGAGATTCCAGCGACGAGATGAAGGGGGCACAGGCGGTTGAGCAACAGGTGGCATCCTACCTCCAGAGCGCAGGAATAGAGTTGGGCTCGAAGCACATCAAGGCCTGCCACCCACTTCCAACGAGGAGCGAGAGACCATCATGAGGTTTATCAACAGGGAAAGCAAAGGGGCACTTTTGAGACAAGAATGAAAACTTAAGGGCACAAACATTTTCATCAACAGGCATTTGACAAAACAGAATGCTGACATCGCGAGGAACGCAAGACAACTCCAGAAGCAAGGCAAGATTCAACAAACATGGGTTACAAACTGCAGATCTTCATCAAACTGAATGGGACTCCTGAGGCTGCAAAACTTTTGGTGGTAAAGAAAATAGAAGAGCTCGACAACTAATGAAGGTAACACGAATCTCCTCCTGTCACCATTATGGACGTGTTAAAATCAGTTATTCAACAGAATCTAACTTGACACATATGAATATCATGAACCCAGCACAACAGAGTTCAACTCTGAGACTGATCCTGACAGTAACTGCAAATGCATTACTAACGAGGAATATGGAAAGGATGTGGATCCTTGCAGCAAACTTTCAATTATATATTTTAATAGTAGGAGCATGCATATGAATTTTGACTCTATCAGAGTCCTTGCAAATTGTTGAACAAAGATTTCGATCTTTGTGTATAATAAGAAAGCAGTTCTGGATTACCTCTCAATCTGTGCATGGATGAAACCAGGCTGAGAGGCCAAAGAAAGGCCGTGTGTGTGATTTGACTCC